TGGTGGAAAAGCCCCTACCAGCACTTGTAACTGCTTAAGGCACTTCTGTCAGATTCTTTCCAGAGGGTGAAAGCTGGTCTCAATGTCCTACTGAGCCAGCAGAGCCAAACAGTTAACTAGAGCACTTGTTTTAGTCTGGAACTATACATTATATATTTCAAACAGATACAGTCTGAAACAGCTTCATTGGGCACACATTTGGAGTAGCTGCAGTATTGTAGAATGAGAATGCTTCTGTGCTATGAGCTCCTTGGCTTCTTTAACACTTAGTTCAAGCCCCAACCAGTCGTGTAAAAAGTTGGCTCAGGGGCCCTTGAGCTTTGCCTAAATATGAGCCCAGAAACTGGAAGACAGGTGCCTTCCTGGGGTAACCCTCAATGGGGGTGTTCTGGTTCATGCAGCAAGGCTGTATTATCAGCAACTTCCCATACTGTTCACTCTGCATTTTCTAGTCGTAGAAAAGGATTGGCTAAGAAGGAACTCTTGCAACTGAAAAAATTAAGAAATTCACTTCCTTTGAAGGCAGGACACGGCTTCTAATACTTACTTCTCACTACATATCACGTTCCCACTTGTTTAGAAAGTTTGTTTGATTGGAGCTATGATGTTTCCATAGGTCCATACTGAAGTTTATAGATTTGTTACACTGAACTAGACTGCAAAAAGTAGAAAAAGAGGGCAGTGGGCAAGGAAGAAAGGAGGAGAGGGAAATGAGCATACTGGATGTGGCAGAAGATGTCACCTCTGCTCTGCACTTAAGAAATGGCATGGGGGACTGGGTGCAGTGGGTTTTTAAGCACTTTTCAATGTTTAAAAACATTTATGTGGTCTATTAGATGAAAAGTCATTTCAATTGCAAAATTTATAATTAAAGTTTTTTTCTTTTTTAATATTATGTTTAATGTGATGCATCTAACTAGTAAAGTAAAAGAAAAGGAATGGAGGGAGGGAGGAGAGAAAAAGAGGAAGAGGCGAAAAGACAGGGAGAGAAAGAATGAAAAAAAGAGAGAATAATTTAGGTTAACTGGATTTGATTCCAACATTATTACAAACTCAAGGAAACATAACTGGTTATATTTTGGGACAGAGTTTCTTGCATTTTGTTTAATCATTGAGGTCTTTAAAGGCAGACCTTTACCTGCAACTCACTCTGGGCATATTACAGAGCATCTGAAGGTCTTCCCCTAAGCATAAAGTACTTGAAACAAACACATATGCAACAGATGAACAACAGAATTATTTACAATTAATGAAGAGATTTATCCTGGGGCAAAGGAGGTATGATTGCAGGGCAGTTAATAACATGGAACACGAAAACTTCTATTAAGGAAAAATACACAAATATCAAATGCCCAAAAGAAATGCTAGTAAAATCAGACACTCAAATTCAGAAGAGGCTACACTTGAACAACTTGTGAGTTGTCCCAAGCTGTGACCTTTGACTGGTGGATAGTCAAAACAGGGTTAAATTAAATCTACTTCTATACCTCTAGTCTTCTAAAAGATCAGATTCTTTATTTTCCATGTGGTCTGAGTATCTCAGGTATTATTCTGGGAAAAAACACACTATTTAGTTCCACTCTATCAAACAACTGCAAGCACCAAACATTCTACATGGTCTGTTTGCCTCTGTTGTCATATCCTGATAGCTAACTGCTAGGAAGCAATATTGAAGTTCTAAAATACTAGCTCATAAGTCCTTTATTTTAAACAAGTTTTTCCTATCTAATGAAAACTTAATGTATGTAGCACTTGATTGCATTGTGCCTTTTTAATATTATAGTTTAACCTAAAGACTGAATCAGTTTATTTTTCTTATAGTAGCTTCAGGGCTCAAGTATTATATCCCCTTTAATGATTCTTATGTTGATAAATCAGACTTGAGTTTTTCCCTAGATATCAAATTTACCTTTCTAATCTATCCAAAAGTCTTTATCAAGTTCTATGCCCAAGTTAAATAGGGTATAAATCCAACCCTGGTATCCTCTCTGGACAGAATCCAGGATGGGCAGATATGATATATGTCCTCAGCTGGGTGGCAATGAATCTAAGCCTCCTTTGTTTCAATTTCAAAAAATTATTTAAAAAGGTCATGAATGAGCTCAGTAGTGTGCAATGCTCCTGGACTAGATAGTGACATGCTATGCCTCCCTCCGGCCAAGTTCAAAACTTGCCTAACGATGCTGCCCAGTGTCTGCTGAATCTTGCATGAATATATCAATGACAAAAAGAAGTTATTTTTAGCATAAATGAAGTCATATGGTTTGTGAAATGTTTGAAGAGAAAAATAATCCACCCCGAGGGGGGGGAAAGTATGTATATGTGTTGATGGAAATATTTTAAACCCACCCAAAGGAGGGGTTTGCATGCTGACAGACACCCACCCCCTCCAATTTACCAGTGAAAACTCCATTCCTGTGTATGGTGACTACAGATGGTTAGGAACACTAACAAGCTGCTCAGATCAGAAGAACTGTAGGACTACAAGCGTTAAAAAAATGTAACTAGGACCAAAAATAGCTGTAAAATATTCTTATGCAGGACAATCTAGTTTCAAAGAACCTTAATAAGACACTGTTCCCAAAGTAGATTAAGAAATAACTTTATTTTTTGTTTATCAATCCCATGATTGAAAAGACATGTTGCTCCCAAAGACAAGAGGCATAATCTAAAAGAAAATTCTTTCTGAAAATTTGGTTTGTGAAGTTATTATGCTGCAAATCAAGAGAAGGATCACGAAAAGCTGCTGCCAACATTTAAAACTGGTAAAAATATTCTATCCCAAGCTTAGCAGAAATTTTAAAGCTGTATCAAAACCATGTCAGCCACAGAATAACAATAACAATTAAGGCATTAACTGTAGTGCCTTCAACTTAAGAAAAGCATTTAAAATATCCCATTTCCCAGAAAAGAATGATTTATTTAATTCAAAGACTATTAGAATTGGAACTAAATAACTCTCTTCTTCCACCTTGGTTCTAGGCTTTCCTTTAATCAACAATATCTCTAGCTAATCATTTAACAGAATTTGGCTTCTCAGAAGAGTCTTTGTCATTTAAGCACAGTGTGGAATGGGGAAAGTGTGTAGTTACAAGGGAACTAGAAGAGTACAAAAGACAGTCACTTCTGAAACTCGCTGATGCTCAAGAAATCAGAGACCCTCCATTAGGGTGGGTCTCATATGCCTGAGGGCTTTGTGCTTGAGGAAACACTACTTAAGAGGTAGCTCTGGTTCTAGTTTATATTTAATTACAGTTTGCTGTATCCTGTCATAGGTAAGTTCTAATAGTTTCAGCAAAGTATAAGCACTCTAAATTTCCTCCTTACCCACCCTATAGATGCCCCTTTGAGAAGGTAAGAAAAAGCTTAATTGTGACTATAATTTAGAATAGCAGCTAATTCAGCAATTCACACCCAACTATGGATTGACAGGACTAAGAAAGGCAACCTGGTGCAACCAGTTCTATGAACTAGACCTGCAGAAGTGTGGCAGTCTGGTGTATTCACAGCACGCAGGGAGAAGAGGGGAGGCAGAATAATTAGGGTGCACGTATGGAGAATTTCTTTTATGCATTTCACAGCACATTCTGCCACAGCAACAAAACCACCAAATCAGGAATGGGTTTGACTGTAGTCTTTGATTTCAAAGAAGCTTGTGCCCCTCCCCTACTCTTACTTACACTTCATGCAAGACAGAAAGAGCACTATTACTATTTGAATATAGGACCTAATGAGTAGTAGGCAGGGATGGGAACAATAACATAATCTGGATGGCATGTTCTATGACATAATGGCATAGTCTATAACATGAGACTTTTTAAAAGATTTATGTAACTGTGAGTATTAAAACTAAAGCTTCACCTCTACATATGTATCATTTTGTAGTCCTGTACCCTCATGACTATGGTCATTGAAAGAGAACTCAAGCATTAACACTGAATACAAAGAGCAATTTTAAGGGAGATGTGAGAGTTGCTAATAAACTTACCAAAGTGTCAACTGTTCTACTCTGAGCCTCTTCCCTTTATCCAATACTCTGAATGTCAAACTGAAGGGAATTAAAAGAACCAAATATTCAGATCAAATCAATTATGTGCCACAAATTATTTAGCATACAGATATTATTTAAAGGATACTGAAAAAATGTCCACTGCCCAAAGTATTAATTTCAAAAAGCCAATAAACTGAAAATCTAAGGTGAAAGTGGTATGCAACCTTTCTCCTCTCCCTCTTCAAATAAGTAATTAAATATATGGGTAACATTACACTGTCATATTTATCATAACAATATAAACAATTTCAATCATTCCTGAATATTACTTTATAAAGATATATATATTTTAAAAGGCTTTCAAAACATTTTTCAACCCAGCATTTCAGAATAAAGCATTAGAAGTTTTGTATACAGTAACACATTCATGTGATAAGTATATGAATTTACAACCATACATTATTGTATATATATTTATATAAAAAACAAACCTGGCCGGAAGTGAAGGCTACCTACAAAGATGTCTAAGTAAATTATGCTTGTCAAAACAATTACAAAATTGAAAACACTCATGCATTTTTAAATCATCTAAACCACTGACAAAATAAGGTTCAGCATTTGAAGTTTTCAAATTAACTACAAGAAAGTGCTACAGATATTTACATTTTCTTAAAATGAATCAGTGTTCCCACAAAGTTGCATTAAAATTTTTCACTAGCCTCAAATGTAATACAACTAAAAACTGAAACTTCTACAGTTTGGTACCCAGCATTCTCAAAAGAGAATAGGGTATAAACAGCAGACACAAGCATCATTTACACTGTGCTGTCTCACACAGAAAAGTACAGTTCATAATACTGTTTGACCTGACACGTGCTTGAAATTCTAAGCCTCGAGAGGGACTAGAAGTGAACATTTCATTAATAATTACACATATCAGCAACCACACGATAAGGGCTTCAGGCTTTTCCCATCCAAATCAAAGTAAATAATTTAAACATGGAACAAATTAAAACCAAAATACGAGTGACTTTATTTCAAAATAACAAAAGTCATTTCTGACATTTGCCTAAATATTTAGATTCCTTTTAAAAAAATATTGTGAAAAAATGCTTCATTTAAGGTTAATTTCAGAAAATACACTTATATATATAACGCAGAGCCTGTAGCCCTCTGACAGAGTTTTAAACAGAATTTGCTAAGATGCGAGAAGTCATTTAATCAACTCAGGTATTATTTTAGGAAATAGGCTGGGGTGGCTAAATCTGTATTTCTTTTAATTTGGTGAGTTTTACTTTTCCAATTTGGACATCTAAAAAGCTACCTTTTTTTTTCATCTCTCCAACTTTGTAAACTATATATTTTAAGATGAAAATTTCTACCAAATGCTAATTGGAATAAGATTTAAAAACAATAATATTTAATGCTAAGGATGTTTTGTCCCTTGAATCAAAAAAGAAAATCTATATTTTGTACTCAATTGAAATTTAGTGTTTTTAAGAACTATTTTAATAATACTAGCACCCTTATTTTATTTCATACTTAGGTAATTATTTTAGAAAGGGTATTGAAATAATTTTTCTCTTTTAAAAGTTTGTTACTATTTAAAGATGAAACAGATTTATTTACTGCATCAATATATTTTGCACAACTCATAACTTTTCCATGAGAATTGATTCCAAATCTCCACAGCAGAGTTTCACTATAGAATTTGCGCATCATTGAGAAATCAGGTCAGGTAAAAAGATATTTACTGACACTTAGTAACATAACAGTGTTCTTTTAAATAACTTTAAACATTTTATCTCTTAACAGTTTTTCAGGTAACAGTGTGTAAAGAACACCAATCTTAAGACTAATATACAAAATCACCTTAGGGAATTACTACAAGATGCTACTCTGTCCACATAGCCTAGCATCTCTTACTTTGTCTCCCTTCATCTTTGCTAAACAAATAGGACAAAGAACACCTAGAAGGTGAGGCAGGTGATTGTCTTTGAGAGCTCTCTTATATAGACTGTGGCAGATGAAGAGAACACAGATGAAGAGAACAGACAGACATATTTAAAAAGTCAAACCCAACACCAGAATGCTCCCCTTTGTTATGATCCAGTGGAATGCAAGCTAGGAATAGGATAGAATTTGGAAATCCGGCTCTGTGTTGATGGGTTAAGGCATTCAGACTCCCCGGTCATTTTAAAGAACACTTCCTGCTCCTGCAGTTTCCTGGCAAACTCTTCTTCCAGTGTCTTAAAAAGGAAGGGAAAACGAAATTACATGCCAGTATTACAAAAAGAATTTACCCTGACAGCCAAGATATGGCTATTTGCCCAAACACTTTCTTTGTATGTTATCCTACAGAAGACCAGGCTGCTCAACAGTTAGGACCATAGACTGCACAGCCCTAAGTTCAAGTCTGGACTGAGGAATATGAATGGATGGCTTGGGTCAATTACTTAACTTCTCTGTATTACAGAATCATTTCATTGTTCTACTCTAAAACAGAGATACTGCCACCGACCTCACTGATTGCTGTGAGAGGACTGAATGTGATAATGATGTACTCACCACACCCTAGGCACTCAATAGATAGCACCTACTAACTATTTTCTCTCTCTTCCATTTCCTATTTTTTAGTTTGATTATTGAAGTGCATTTCATTTCTTTCACACTGGACTATAAGCTGTTGAAGGTAAGACCTAAATCGGACTTATCATTACATCCCCACCATATAGTTCAAAGAGAGTGCCTGATAAATATCTTAAGTATCAATGACTTTGTGGACAAATGATTCAGAGGTAAGTGCTGCTGAAGAGGTACTAACAAAGTACAGGAGAAGATGGAGGGATACAGGAAGGTTCCTTGACGAGGTGCAACATGAGTTTAGTATTGAAGGAAAGATAAGAATTTGATAGATGGGATGGGGAAAGCATGCCAGACACAATGCACAAGGGCAGGAAGCTGCAGAACTGCTGTGAGCAATGGCAGTTCTACTTGACACCATAACACGCACTGGAACAAAGTGGTGAGTGGGAGATGAAGCTAGAAGGATGATTATGGCCAATGTGTGGCCCTATGCAATCTTCAAGTCAAAATGAGGCATTTATATTTTATTCTAATGGAACTGAAGAGTTATCAACACTATGACAGTCTCAGAGATGTCCTTAAGGATAAATACTCTGGTGATGGCAGGCAAATAGGAAGAAAGGACAGGAAAGTAGAGATCAGAAGGCCTATTAAGGACATTACTGAACAATTTTAAGTAGTAGGATGAAAGTAATAGGAAAGATAAATATTATGAAAATAGAGTCAAACTTATTTGTCATCTCACTGAATGTGGGCTATGATGGAAATACTGACATGTAGGCTAGAAGCCTCTTCCTAAGAGAAGTTGGAACATCTGATGATAGATGGGACTGGACAGAGGGGAAAAGTTGAGGCGATGAAGGTAACAGGATGTTGGGTTTAGTTTTATCTCCACTGAGTTTACAATCATTAGTTAACATTCAACAGGTATGTACTGGCCATTTACAATGTGCCAGGAACTGTTCTAAAAGCTGGATATGTATCAGTGAACAAAAAGAGAATGTCCCTACTTCCAAGGAGTTTACATTCTTGTGGGAGAAGACAAACAATAAACAAATGTGTCTGTGGTGATGAATGTTATGAAGAAAAACAAAGGTGAGGAGATAGAGGGTGTTTGAAGTGGACATGGAGGCTATTTTATACACAGTGACCAAAAAAGGAAACTTGGATGAGATGATTTGGAACAGAGGCCTGAATGAAATGAGGAGGAATGGAACAACCAGGTAGAAAATGGGAGCTTAAAGCATGAAGCTATAATAATAAAATAATAAACAATAATAGCAATACCAATGATTCATTGAAATCTGATCACAGCTCAAGAACTGGGATAAGTACTATACACACACACCAATCCTTTTAACTTCTTAGCAACCCCAGTTAGGTGGGTAGTATATCTTCATTTTACAAATGAGGAAAACTGGGCTTAGAAATGTTAAGTGACAAAACTAATCAGTGGCAGCAGAGATTTGAGCCCAGATCTGTATGACTTAAGAATTGGTGCTCTCTCCAACTCTTACTACATAAGTTTTAGAGTTGTCCTTAAATATGCAACAATTGAAGCCATGACTAGCTAAAAAGCATCAAGAAAGGGAACAGAGCTAAAGGTGTAAAACTGGGAAATGTCTACATCTCAGGTGCCTGGAAGACAAAGAAAAAAGTGATAACAAGCACAAAGAAAAAAGAGAGTTATGTCATAAAAGCCAGGTGAGAACGAATTTTAAGATTTTTAACAAGAAATGTTAGATAATACCATTGGATTTGATTAAATTCACTTGTGGCCACTGTCAACACGCTCACTGGGGAGTCTGAGGTAAAATCTTGACTGCAAAGAGTTAAAAGAAATTGGAGGAAGGGGCTTCTCTTTGTTCACCCTTCCGTACCTTTTGATTTCTAAATTATATGAATTTATTACCTATTCAAATATTTAACAATAAATAAAATTTGAATTAAAAAGCCACACTATCAACTGACTTGGTCATTTCTCTTCCTCTAGAAACCTTTAGCACATAGTAGGTGCTAATACATTATATCCTTGATTGATTGATTGGATAAATGGAAGAAAGGAATGGTTGAAATATACAGCAGGCAGAAAGCCCAAGAGAAAATAAAGGTGTAAGTTTGAGATTCAGCGAAGGGAGAGATTCATAGTGATAGCAAAAACAGAGTTGCAATGGCTGACCAACTGGACCAGGCTAGCAGTGAGTCAGGTGCAAAAAAGGAAGATAGCTGGCTGGCTGGCTGACTGCAGGTAGGAAAACCATTCCTATTTTACTAGCTGTCAATTTAACACAGAATACAAGGGCCTTGTAATCTGGCTCTAATCTAAACTGTCAACACTTCTTCTCTCCCTCTCTAAGGTCTACACAAAGGCACACACTCCCTCTAAATGTTCCAGAGAGCTACGGGAGTCCTGTACACATCATTTTCACTCATTCTCTTTGTACTTACATTGCCCTTTCCTACCAATCTGTCTGTCTGTCTGCCTAGCAAGTTCTACTTATCCTTCAAGCCTCACATGGCCTACAAGGCCTACATCTCCTCTAAAGCTTCTCTGCCTTCCCCAGGCAAATTTAAGCAATCCTCCTCCTTTGCTTGTACATTGTGATTCTCTGCCCTGTATCCTGCACTTGCCTCCTTCAGAGCAATGATCCTACAGACCTGTTAACTAGACTCTAAACCTTGAATCTTGATTCTAAACCCCTTGGGGGGGCAGAAACTTTGTCTCTTCGTCTCTGTATCTCCTGCATCTGACACTGTACCTGCTACATATTCGGAAAAGAGCCAACAGCTGGGTGGATGGGTGGATGGATAAACGTAAATATATTTTAACTAAAGTTTTAAAAATTACCTTTTTCCTAGGTCTCAATTTCTCTCTCCATTCCTTTAATTCTTGGCTGTGTTCCTCATCTAACTCCTTTAGTTTCTGAGTCTCATGCTCAACCAATAGATGGCATTTTTCATTCTGAAAACAAAGTTCAGATTAAAAAATTTTAGATCAACTATGCAATTTTTCATGAATACTTATCTTCCAAAATACTAAAGTATTCATCAAACATCAAGCTATTTCTGATGTCCAAATTCTTCTCAAAAAACCAAGGACCAAGAATTAGGAAATAAGTCACAGATTCATTTTTGTAAGTTTAGAAGCTAGATATGTGTTTACTTACCATATGAAAAGAACTTAAATACAAAGAATTAGTTTGATCTTGTTTTTCCTTTGTAAGAGGGTTTGCTCACAAAAATTATGTTTCAGAGGGCAGCTTGTATGCACTTTACCCGTTGGTACCAGAATGTGGCATTAGGAACTAGTCTACTCTAATAAATCAAGCAAATATGTAGACTACACATAATGTATACGCTACTTTAAAATTTTAAACATTTTAAGCTATGTACTAGATGGGCTGCATACTACTGGTAAGGCCCCCAAACAGTCCTCTTCAATATACTCTGTAAATTTCTTAGGAGAAAAATTCTTAGAAGAATTTAGATAAAATTCTTAGGAGAAAACAAAATATATTCAGTTTATCACGTTTCAAAAACTTAGAATAAAATGAACTATTTCTCCCTAAATGAAAAGAAATTTCAAATTCAGAATCTGGTAAGAAAACTATCTACATTATTTTGAAAACTTTGTATTCTTTGCAAAATATACTAAAAATGTTGAATATCACTTTTGAAAGATGAAACTTCTTCAGTTATAATTTAGCTTCATGTTTATATTGATCATGGTTATATAAAATCTAAACTAGTGTCTATGATATTAAATTGATTTTCTTTGTGTCTATACCGGAAATGAAACTTTTAAATCCCAGCATTGTTACGAGTAAAGGGCAGTTTACTTTGATGAGCTATGGTTTTCTCAACACCAGACACCTGGGCTTGCCCATCTAGGACCAGCTTTGTTTTCATGCTTCTCCATCTGACCTGCAGCTGATGCAGTTCTCGGACATTGGCTTCACACTGCAACTGAAGATCCCGCATTTGATTTTCATGTTTTTGATGCTGAGCCATTCTCTCATTTTTCTGCCTCTTTTCTTCTTGAGCTGCAAACTGTTAAGAAAAACAAATGATAAATATGACTAACAAGGAATGTAATTTCTGCGTCTTCCAAAGGTGTGATTAAGGAATTTATTAAAACTTAAAGTACAATAAACTAAAGCTGCAAGTAATAAGATGCTGTGACTCATGGTTTCCGTGGCGAGTGGGGACTTCTGATTAAAACCTCAGTCCTCCTATCTGCTCAGTCGCCTCAGTTAATTTGCATGTGGGACATGTGACTATAAAAGTATAGTGAAGCCATTATGTTTTGGCATGAAAAGCTGTCCAAGTTGCCTTATTCCCAGGGCTGATCTAGGGACCTAATCTAGCCCAGGATCTGGTGTGGAGGCATGGTAGGGTGGACTTTGCTCTCCGTGGCCATCACCCTAGAAGACTAAGTTGGTATATGCCATTTATTCAGCCTCAGCCCATACAGCCGAAGTAAACATCAACAAGCTCAAGGTGGCTCTAACTGTTTACAACACAATTATGTGGCGCTTCTAAAGGTTATTCAAATTTTTTAAATCTAAAAGGGAAGAGAGCAATTTGCTTATTTACCTGTTTAATTTTGTCACGATCCTGATCTGGTGTGGCTGTTGAGTTAATTCTCAAACTTTTCTTAAACATGGCCATTCGAGTCTTGGCTTCACTGCGCTGAATCTTAGGCAGTCTTGCTCTTTCTTGAGTCTGTCTGTTTTTCAATTCCTCAATAAGTCGTTGATTGTACCGCTGCATTTGTTCTGTTTCCTAAGTTTTAAACAAAAACTTGTGATGTAGATACAATGTGATACTCAGTACCTACATGCATGCTCAAAGGTTTCACTTTGTTATTCCCAAAATTATACTCTTTCCCTTTTTACATGCCAACAAGCAAATTTTAGGCAAAAAATAATTTGTAAGAAAAATAAAGCTATGATTAATAAGATTCTCATATTGAAATTCTCTCCTACTAAGTACAGGGAGTTCACATATTTAAGACTGAACTACAAATGGAGCCACAATAGCTACTTTGAGATAAGATGAAGATTACAATGTTCAAGAGGGCTTTAAGCATCATAATTAAGTCACCTTCCTTGGAATTTGCAGAAAAGAAGTTTGCAATCATGATCAAGATACAATTTATTACTCCAAACTTCATAAAAGAAAGAATGGAAATCTAAATTCATTCTCTAAGAAATATGTTTCAAAAATGAATAGCTCTGAAAACTTTAAAATGAAATTTTCCTTTCATTAACCTTCTCATGGCGCTTAAGCAACTGATGTCTTTGCATGAAATACTGATCTTTAAGTTGCTGTTTTAGCAGCTGGTGTTTTTCTTGTAAGTGTCGTTCTTCAAGCTCCCAAATTGCAGCTTCTCGTGCTAGAAGAAGAAAACAATTTTCAAAATGTCACTTTGTTCTTACTACTAATATACTCTAGTGTTCATTTTAATATTTACATACAAGTGTTGTAAATACAATAACCTATACACACACTGACCTTCTAAGCTATAAATTAAATATTATCAATGTAAAGATAATATCTATTACCACTTTCCGCTCTGTTCTAATGCCTTATAAACAGAGAATGCCCCACCCCAACACCAAAATTCCATTTAATCATCTTAATGAGAAAGAAAAAAATTTAAACTATTTGTTAGGGGAAATAAGTGCTTAAAATCCCATTCTATCATGTAGCCAATTAAACAATTATATAGACAAATTACAGATAATTATATATATAAATTATATAGCCAACAATTGTAAGACATAATGAGTATATTTCTACCATCATCTGGACAAAACAAAGCTTTAAGGATTATATATTGATGTTCAATTTCACTGTCATAAAAGAATTCTATACCTTACAGTATTTAATTTTATGGGTTTTCTTCCTCTACTGACCTCAACTTTATCTTTCCCTCTACCACTCTAGCAAAGGAAAACATTCAAATAATTTCCAAGGTATGCCTCAGCAATGTTTTTGAGACACCATCTTTTCACATATGCTGCATAACTTCACATACCTCTCATGAGCTGTTGTTTGTTATTCAGGCATTCTCTTTCAATATTGGCTAACTCTGCTTTCTGCTGTTGGATGATCTTTTTCAGAGAGCCATCTAACTCCTGTTGCTGCTTCTGAACAAACTCTTGTTCCTATTAGACACAGTTAACCATGAGTTAATAAGTATCTACTGATCAAAACATCCATTCATCTACATGATTGTACAAATTAGTGACTTAACAAAATTTCTAAACCAAGTTTGCAAAGTTAGCTGGATTTAAAAATCACCAAAAAAACATATTGTACATATAAATGTATTAGTCACTCAATTCAAGCACAGAAAAAAAGTATTAGAATATGTAATATTCTAAACTAAGTATTAAGAATAATACACCCAAAAGAAGTTTATAACCCATTCATAATTAAAATGCCTAACTCACAGATATCTTTGGGAAACTAATAAATTTATCATTTCTAAAACAGATTATTCATTCCACTATGGTGCGTATAAAACAAGAATAAACAAGAAATGCCTTTCAGGAAGAAAGGCAATAGAGCAAATAAGTAAAACAGATACCAGAATTTTAAATGCTCTGTTTTTCTAAGAAATAGTTAGGAAGAAATGTCATGGCTACACTAACAGACAGACAGTTCCACTATCTGTAGCCTATGCCTAAAAAGAAAAATCATCTAAGGACTTAATGAGAAATAGTAAATTGTTGGAGAAATATCAACTAGGAATAGGAATATTTTATATAAACAAAATGCCTTATAACCAGAGAATTCTACCAATGTTTGGGATTCACTCATTCACTCAATAAGTATTTACTGAGTACATACTATTTGCCTGGATGCCAAAAAAATTTATTACTGTGTAAGGAAAATAAATGTTAAAGTGACTTAGATCTTTATGGTAGATCATACATTTACAGAAGGAATTATATCCAAACTGTAGGAATGTAAACTTCGCCAGTAAATGTTTGCTCTCCACCCTTCTCTTGGAAGTTACGGCTGTAACTGATCAATCTGAATGAGGATTTAGTGATTCAGGGTTGAAGCAGAATTTCACCTATAATCCCTCCTCTTTCACGTCCAAGAGAAGATAAAACCCCAAGATCATTTTGGAACTATTCTTTAGACCTCAGACTGAGTGTGACAGACCTGGATCACTACCAGCCTGGCCTTAAATGCACAGAGGGAGTCTAGCAGTGTTCCTCAAGATGCTTGCCTTACCACTGTGTCTCTGGAGGTGAGAAACAGGTCTTACCATTCACGATGTCCTATTAAAGTACTGGAGTGACAGGTTCTGCTGTCTCATCTGCATCACAATTTGTATTTTAGCATAAGTACACATACACAGTAACACAAAGCCTAATCATTGCCTCTGTTAAGTACAACTGTCAACTTGACTACAGTCACCAATATAACTTTATCACAAAAAAAGGAAATTCTCAATGAACATTTAAATTTAACTATCTAGAATGAGTCCTTTATTTATTTTAAAGTTTTATTTAAAGAGACGCAAAATCTCCAGGCCTATCTTTTAGGTAGTTTTAACCAAGAAAATTAAGTTGTTCAGGGTTCTCTTTTTCCTACAATAAATGCTTTTGTAATAAAAATTTAATTGCTTTTGTAATTTCATTGTAAAATTTCTATATGCAAGCTTGTTTAATAAACTTCACATACCCTGCAGATATATCCAACAGTTTTCTTTTGTTCAATATTTTTACCATTAGTTTGCATAAACTATTTTTTTAAATATCTGAGTGGACAGAAAAAATTGGTTCAAATTAACTAGCATAAATAAGTATTACATTTATATATACATAAATACTAATATTCATTTACAAAGAAATCAAGTAAAAAAGTACAAAATAGGGAGAAAAAATATGTGAAAATTAAAAAGGTAAATATAAGTCAGTGCCACTAAAAATATGAATGCAGTTTCCTGTCAATGCAATTTTTGGTCATATTACAATTATATATTTATAACTAGAGTAAGCAAGATAAAAGTTAAGTTTACAGAAAACTCCATACTAAGTGCTCCATACTAAGTGCTAGGCACTGTTAGTAGTTATACGATTACTAAAATTAATGAAAGACAGCATTGCCTTCAGTGAGCTTCTTCACTCAGTTGGTCCCAAATTGGTTTTGTCTGTCAGTTTACCTAAAAAAAACCCAGTGGACCCCTCCTCTTACTATCACACTTTCAAAAGTTCAAAAGTAAACCACAGAAAACTCAAAGCTAGGAATAAAAAGGATCCAGAAACCATGCCACACAATGAGTGACTGAAAGAACTACAGAAGCAGGCCCTGAAGCAGCTAATATATAAGGGGAAAAGAGATCTGAGATTTAGATAGAAGCCGGAAGAACTAGCACTGTGGTGCTCCAAAGAATAAAACTGGGATTGACGAGTCAAGGTAGACAATGTATGGAAATGCATCTTAACACTCACGGTTAGCAAAGACATCAGCTGCCTTACAGAGCTATGGACTTAAATAACTAAGTAGATCTGGGTGATTTCATAATGCTAAATGATTTTTTATATTAAAGCCAAAAATTACCTGAAAGGTCCCTTACCTACTAATTAATATATTACTTCAAAAGAAATGAAATTTTAATATTATTGAGCTTTCATTAATTTCCTAACTTCAAAAGCCAAGTATAATATATTCACAATTAGAATGTGTAATTAGCAATTATTCTTAGGATCTTGAAGTGATCTTACATTCCAAGAAGATTACCCCAATTACATTCATTAAAAAAAAAAACAATGGATTTGATCATTATGAGTAACAAATAGTTTTTAAATGGTCACATAAATTGTAAAACCATTGCCCTACAAATGAGAGCCAAGTTTAAATTCCAATAAGAAATTTTATCATATTATTCAGGTAACTGTGAACATTAAAACAACTTTGAGTTCTAGAAAATTATAAGGGTTATGGTATATTGGGCTATTTGCACAGGATTTGATCATGTTAACTCAAAAGAAAAGCTAAAAAATGGTAATGATCAGAAAAGAGATTGTATTTCATAATTTCACCCTCTCATTTAAAAAAAATGTTTTCTTTACTCTTTTAGAAAACTATATAGTCCAACAGCTGCCAATAAAAAAGTCTAATTTCAGGAGAGGGGAACAGAGAGGTTGACTCAAGCTGTATTCTATCTACTCCAGTTGTGTATATCAAACATTACAAATAAAAATTATAGTGTTAAATGAGCGTATCACTTCTCTATAGAAACTGTGAGAAAGAATACAGCCTAGAGTTCTAGACTTAATTAAAAATTATTGCAAGAAGAATAGCAATTCATTATGAACAACTTGAACAGTGACAATCAGAGTTAAATGGCACTAAAATCACTTTTAATATAGCTTTTCTGACCATACCCATAATTAAAACATCTACATAAACATATTTGCAATCAAAATGTCACTTCACACAAAGGTAAAAATCTAATCACAGCATTCAATTTCTCACATGTGCAAAGCTTATAAAAAATACTATTGGGAAGATATTTTTTGAAAGAGACGAAAATCTCAAAATTTGTGGTAGGTAGATAGAAAAAAGAACACTATATTCAAAGTGTTCTAGTTCCAGGTTTACCACTAATGTCTTTTGTGACTTAAGGCAGATCACTTATTCTTCTGTGCCTCAATTTCTTCATCTGTAAAATGGGTGCATTCCATCCCTATTAGGGTGGCAACAGTTGAAAATCAAATGTGAAAACTCTGAAGAATAATGTACCATATATAGTTCATGTCAGGTTATTACTACTATTGTCACTGCTGACATTATCATCTATCAATCTTCTAGATTTTCACAAATGAAGCTAACAATGAAAAGGCACATGTGAGTCAAAGAAAAAGCAGATAAAACAGGAAAAGGCATCCTCCTACGGGACACGGGACTTACATCCTGCATTTGGGCGTTGAAGACTGCACAAGATGACAACTGAAAAGACTGAATCATGACCTGAGCAACACCCTGTGGATCAGAATACAATACACCTCCCAGGTGAGAATACAGCTGAATGGCTTTTTGTAAGTGGAAAGAATAATTACACAAATATTGAGTTTCTTGAGGCCTGGAACAAGTCACTTAATAGAGGGTCTTTCTCAGCTGTAAAATGAAGGATTTAAACTAGATCAGTGATTCCCAAACTCAAGTTGCTGTTTTTTAAACCAGTCAAACCCTCTTTTAAAAACCTGACCTAAAAGTTTGTAAAATTTAGAAAGAACATGAAAAATAGTACTGCTTTTTAGATGAAGTGGAAGCAGGGGCCTGAAGACTCAGAGTCCTCATATTTTGAAGGATTCTTGACGTGCTTGTTCCAAATGCAAGACCTCCTGGGAGTACAGTTTGAAAACCACTAGACTAGATGATCACATTCTTCCTCCATGTCTATATAGCTATCATGTATAAATTCTCCAAAAAAGTTTGAAATAGACTCTTTAAAGTTATCAAACTTTAGCACCTTCCTCAAAAGCAGTCACTAAAGAGAAATTATTTGTGTATTTTTTAGATTACTAAATTCATTAACTTCACAGAAAGAAACTTACTACTACTATCAGTTTTATTTGGAAATTACAGGCTAGCCCCCAAAGTTTTATTAAACAATAGATCACTTAATTCATTCAACACTAAATTCTCAATTTTGACTCTAGAGTCTGATATATTACCTTTGGGAATAAAAAAAGTCTGTATTTCTTTATAAGGCAAAACCATATTGTTAATATATGGTATGAAATCCAAATTATCCAAAAAATCCTCTTCATCTATTAAAAAGCCATGGCCAACAACTACTGGACTAAGTTGATAAAAGTTTAGATTAGACACAGAAAGGGTAGCTTAAACATTGGAGGCAATACAGGTGTGGTGGTTCAATGTATGAATTATGGAACCAAACTTGCCTGGATGAGAATTCTGGCTCTACCACTAACTACTTACGTGATCTAGGGAGAATCACTCAACCTTCCTGGGCTTTATTCCCCTACCTACAGAATGGAGGTAGTAACAGTAACTACGTGAGGTTAAATGAGGTCATGCAAGTGAAGCATTTATTAGTACTTGACACATGGTAAATGTTGTTTGCTATTATCACCTTAAACAGTAATCCCCACACCAGGCCAAGACAAAATTTTTCACTGGCTCACAGCAAAACAACAACAAAAACAACTAAATTTATTCAAATAGGCTAGTTTTATAAAAATTTTTAATTCTAAGATATTTTCCTTATTTTTCATGGTGTTAAAATATTCTCCCCTTTGAAATGATGGGGACAAGTAAATGCCAGTTTTAAAATATCCTTACTTGGAAATGGACTAATAGTTACCAAAGTGAAAGGGCCTGGGGAGGATGGGTGGGAAGGGAGGGATAAGGGGAATAAGTGGCATTACAGTTAGCATAGATAACGTAGGGAGGGTACAGGGAAGGCCGTATAGCACAGAGAAGACAAGTAGTGACTCTACAGCATCTTACTATGCTGATGGACAGTGATTGTAATGGAGTATGAGGGGAATCTAGTAATCACAATGTTGCTCATGTAATTGTATATCAATGATACCAAAATCTTTAAAAATTTGTTAGAAAAAAAATAATAAAATTATAAATAAATAAATAAATAAATAAAATATCCTTACTTAGAAAAAACAAAAATTTTTAGTGATACTCCATTTGTCATGGTCCCCAATGGTTTTTGTTTTTTTCTGTTCCTTTTCTTTGATCTGTAAAATTCAAAAGTCTGGGAACCACTTTTTAAATCACATAAAACCACATCTTCAAATAATTCAAAACAATAATTAATATGTAGTCTATGTCTCTTTTTCCTTTCATTGACATATGACACTACAAATTGAGCTCACTTCTCTCTTTGTGGCTAACTGCAAACTTAATTAAAAGAAAGATGATTCCTAGTGTAAAGGACCATGTAGAATCATGTGATAATTCTTGAAAAATCTGTTGAGAATACTAATTTATCTTATTTTGTAAAAGAATTTACCCATCTTAATTGGCTCAGCCTTATCATAAGTTAGCATTGAGTTTATTTAGGTAAAAATAGTCTATAGCTGCTGGATTCTGAATCAAAAAGAAAACATGCTTAATATTTAAAATCTGTTTTTAAGTTGTTTATATTGTTGAGTGAATGTTTTATCTACCATTTGACATTACCATTTACCATTTTTCTTTTCATTTTGAACTTAATAGGAATAATGCCTTTTTTTTTTTTGTATCATTAATCTACAATTACATGAGGAGCATTATGTTTACTAGGTTCCCTCCTTCACCAAGTCCTCCCCACAGGAATAATGGCTTCTTAACTGGCATTTTTTCCTAATATACAAGACTTATATACTCACCCTCTACATTTTTCCATCCTAAAAGTTTTCTATCAAATATTGACACTACTACTTAGAAATATAAGGTTCCATCATAATTAAAACAAGTATACAGTGGATTATACATTAACATTTATTTCAATTGGAGTCACCTTTCCAAACATTCCTCTTAATTTCATAGTTGCAACTTAAAGGTCACCATTACTGTGAATTTAGTACTACATAAGAAATGCCCTGGGAACCTTTGTATAAGGAGAGTCAATATCACATAAGCACAGTTGGTATTTACCCTTTGGACCACGGCTTACTGGCTTAGAGTAATGCCGCTTCCTGGTTTTAGTAGCATGAAGCTGCTGCTGTTACCTGAGCATGCTGGCTTTGTGCAAGCTCCTCTTTCCTGCGTTTCATGAGCTCTTTCCTCAACTCTTTGGGTGCTTTCTCCACTTCATTTATAACCTACAGTGTATAAGCATGCAGGAGGTGGGGAAATAATACTTTCTCCACAGCAAGCATTTATGAGAGCAGACAAGCTACAAGTTAAATATTAAAGCTGTTAAAAAGTTCCTTTCAACATGCATTAGCATAGATGTTAGTTTGGCGAAAAAGAATGAAAGGATAAAACATGCTTCATCTTAGTGCAGAATGGGACATTACACCATACAAAGGTTAATCAGTTGCTTAATTATCCTTATATATCATTCTCTTTTAAAGATCCAAAGACAATTAGTAATAATTACTAGCAGCACTAATGCTGAACTAAGTGTGGTAAACTCAACTAACCTTCTTGAAAGATTATAAAATTATAAACATACCTATTAACAGCATTTGAAATTTTGAACATTAGGGAAAGCTAATGGCATTTACAAAAGTGCTAAATTTCATAATTGGCTTGGTAAAACCAAAGAAATAATTCTGAATGAAATCCACTTAATGAGACCAAAAGAAAAACAAAAGGGAGAGTAAGCCTTAGAAGACACAAAAGAGAAATAAATGGATACTATTTTTTTCATAAAACACACCATTTTATACATGATGTGAAAAAATGAATACATCTGATGACTTTGTAAAAAACAGTAATTTTTAGAAATGGTAGTGGATTAGAATAATATTCTCCTCTGCCGACAATTTAAGCCAAACTTAATTGTCAGCTTTAAAATCAGTAATATAAGCACTCATAAAATAACAGTTTAGTATGCTGAGATTTACTATGCCAGGTAAAGTATGTTCTAAAACTAAAAATATTTTAGAGCTTCTTCTTTTTTAATCATTTCAGAATCCAAGACATGTATTCAACCTAACACTAGATCTGTAATCTAACTATGAAAAGCAATCATGTGTTTAAAAGAAGCAGCAACAAAAGCAACCAGATTCCAAATCACCACATGCTATTGATGGTCCACGAAAGAGACGAATTCTGATTGAACAGTGTATTTGCAATTTCCCATCAGTAATCCCTCATGAAACCAAATCACCATTCAAAGAAAGAGACTCCCCAAATGCAAGAGGTTTAGCAACAAGGGAAAAAATATAAAATTATTTAGAATATGCTCACCATGACCTCAAACATGTTCACTGTCTAAAACCCTCCTACCCCCAAACAGTAACAGTAATGAAGTACTTTTACATATTTAGGATTAAGTCATATATTTCTGTAAAAATTTTTAATTTAATCTGATATTTAAAAAATAACCTCTCAATAAGAAGTACCCATGGTTTCAAGAAAATTAACATAGAGCTTCAATAAAGTTATACATCATGGTACATAGAACAATTCCATATAAAATATTAAACAGTAACAATGTTTATAAATGGTAGCCGCAGCAAATAAAATTATACACAATTTTGTTTATCTTTACCTAAAGAAATCATAGATGCATTATACTTACTAATGTTCAATTCTATCCTTTTTACAGTAGATCCTGAAGTTCAACAATATGATGTTCAACTTTCTGCATAATTTAAGTGTTAAAGTTAATGAAGCTAGGTATTTGAGATGTGCAACAAAAGTGAAAGTTTTGGTTGAAATGTTTTTGTTCCAATCCTAATAGGACCAATTACAGTTATTGTCGCTGAGGTCTTATATATCATGAAAAGGTAAATCTCCTCCTACACTAAAGGTACAAAATAAATCATAAAATTATCTCTGAAAACAGCTAATATGTAAAGCTCTCTTAGTTTTATTTTAATTTGGGGAGAAAAAGACCACTGATATAATATGTAAGTCCTCTTTCCAAATAAATAACAATCTTTCATAATAAATAATACCACAAATTGATTACATAACAATATGAAACAGTGTTAGGAAAAATGAAAATTTCTGTTCAATTGACTTTATAGGTATTTTCCACCTGTAATTCTTCAAAGTATCTCACAATTTGATTAACTCAGAGATACTATTTCAAATTTCAGGTTACTCAACTTTTGTTTTGGCACAATGCCCAAGGAAGGCAATCAAACTAATCAAGAAAAAAATTTTAAGTATGAATTAAATGTTTCAAATAAATAATAACATAATTTATTGTTGCCACCTATAAACACAACACAGTTAAATTTTCTTAAAAAAGTATTTATAAGACCTTAAATATTGCATTAATAAAGGAATGACCAATTGGAAGGAAAGTGGATTTGATTCATTTGAATAGTTGGTTAAGGTTTAGCTGGACATTTAATGATAGTTGGTAAACTTGAACAGGCCATCAAAACCTCTTCTACTCCAGTTTTTTTGGCAGTAAAACTGGTAACACCTGACCTTACTATCACCCTACATGACCATTAGGAAGACCAGAAAAAAGAATGAATGAGTGTTATTTAACCACCAAGCATTGTCCCTAATTCTTTAGATGGTCTGCAGTGTACATTTAAAAAACAGCTTTAGAAATTAAAAATAGTAGTTACACTTACCTCCTTCTTTCGATTCTTTAACATATTCTGAAATTTGGACAACTCTTTCTCCTGTTCCCCTTTAATGCGTTTTGCTTCATCTCGCAAGCGATTTGTGTGTTCTTGTTCTAGACGTTCAATAGTCTGTTTCTGCTGTTTTTCTAGATTCTCAATTTCTTGATCATATTGTCGCTTTTTGCTCTGTAAAATAACATAGCTCAAGATCATTTAACTTTTCCACCACTGATATTAACTCATAATAAAGATGTTTACTAAGAGCACATTAACTAGCATTTAAATTTAGTGATGTGATACAGCTTTATAATACCGAACAAGTCAAATGCACTAAAATAAATTTTTCAAAAAGATGAGCACTTTTTTCCTACAACGGAAAATAATTTTTTCTATTATACAAATAGAATGTTCAAAATTTTTAGACAATCCAGAAGAATATCCAGTTGATATGAAATACTAAGGAAACATATCATATTCAATAAAATTTTTTAGAACAAAGGCCTTACTGAAGACTACTTTATGAGATACCATTACTTATCACTTTTCAGACTTACCCTTCCTTACTAAGATTCTTAAATGTCCTCTTTCACTGAAACCAATCTTCTGAAAGTATAATATGCTCTTTCAATAAAAAATTTCTGCTTATATATAGGAGATTTAAATATTTTAAAAGGGTGGTTTCTTCAAAACAAGTAAAAAAGCAAAACACTTCAGGAAATATTTGTGGGGAAAAGAATGCAGTTTTTATAAGGTCCTGAAATAAGTACTATAAAAATAAGTACTATAAAAACATTCAAGAACAAAAGTTCCTTATTTTCTTAGGAATTCTCAGTTATGATCCAACAAATATAATTAGTAATAGCACGCTTAACACAAAATGATCCTTACCACTTATAGTTACAAGAACAGCAAAAGAACTATACTCAAACATGAATATGTAACATTTTAAGTGATCTTTTTTCTAACCCACATTAAGCTAGATGTTCAACATAAGTCATTAAAATTTTGTATCACATTATTAATTCCTTTCCCAACTTTGGACACAAAGTAAAAATTGAAAGACTCAGTAACAATTATCTTGACTAGTCAGCATTAATTTCTCTAGCCTCTGTAAATAAGGATGTGTGTTGTGGAAAAGCCACCAAGAAGTTCTAATACTCAGCCAGGTTTTATGGCAACTGCTCTAGACTGGCTTAAAATCTTCGATTCTAAATGAGAGGTCAAATTTTAACAGTGAAACATTATTCAGCAATAGGCATACCTAAAACTTTGTAAACCATCTACAAGTTTCATGTGATTCCAGGTTTTCAAGATAGATTTTAATCAAAGAAAAATGAAGACTCTCGCCACACTGTAAGTTAGTGATGACAGGAAGACTGCGATGGGAAGATCCTTTCAGGCAAAGGGCCAGAGAAAAAGGGCATCCAGACCACCTAAGAGATAAAGGCCAGGAAGACATCACATGGCCAGAGAAACCTAATAATCAGAGAACAAGTTCTAAAACCAGCTAGAACAGTCTTTTTTTTTTTTCCAATGAGAATTCTCTTTAATGGGGAATTTTATGAAGACCACATAACAGCTTGGTTCAGACTGACCTCACACAGTGGTGGAAGAACTACATACAGTTAGAACAGTTTTTTTTAAGCACCAAATTTCATTATCAACAAAATGGTATAAAAATCTAAGACTTACCATCATTTCTTGCTCAAAGCGCCGGAAAATTTGTTCTCGTTGTTGTTGCAGTTTGCTATTAAGCTGTTGTTGGGCTCTTTGCTCTTCTTTTTGAAGAAATCTTAATTCCCGAAGTTCCTGACGTCTGATAAAATGTAATAGCAATAATAAAGATAGAAAATTTACAACTTTGAAGTAATGCTTTAAATTTTTTTTTAATTTTTTCAAATGGAAAATAAAATAATAGAAAACTAGCCAAAACTTTGCTTTTGTTTCTTAATTCTTCATACTTCACAGAGACTGAAAATAAGTCACAAATCCAGTTTTAATGATGTTTTTTTTACTCACCTAAGAAATCTCAGTTCTTCAGTTTTGGAATCACTATCTGTAACTATCTTTGATGTTGTTACACTCACTTCTACACCATCAACAACAAATTTGCGTGTTTTCTTCAATGTTTTCTTTTGTCTTCTTGTTTCCTGAGTGAGAATTTATTTTAGTTAGGCTTTATGTGGGGAATACTAGGAAAAGAGAACACTTTCTTCTTAAAAACAAAAAAAACTGAATAGCCATGAAGACCACTTATACAAAGTATGAATATAAAGCACTGTGGAAGTTTTATCATCTTAAACCCCATCTGACTTTCATATAACTTTACAGTTGAAATAAAATTTTTTTCCAGGGAAATTATGCATTTTGATGTCCATGTATAATTTTTATGATAATACATCATAATCAGGCACAAGTGATAATGAGCAATTCACATAAAAATTTACCAATGCAACTTTTACATATTAACCATTTTTTCTTCTTCCTCTTTTTACCTTTTAAGGTTCTCAGATAACTCTGCTTTTCAGTTTTAGAAATGCTGACAGAACACTTAAAAATGAATTCCTGGGACTCATCTCTTAAAGAATCTCAATCAATAGGTCTGAGGTTAGCTGAGAACTTATATTTTGAAAAGGCTCTCCTGATAAATTTTAAACACCGCCAAAACTGGGAATAAAAATCCCTCTTATTAGCAACAGTAATATCAAAAGCCCTCCTCCAACTTGGGGCCAGGGATGGATGTGTGAATTCAGGATTACTAGAAAGACAGGACCTCTACTATACTCTAAAAGTACAAGATAGCTGCTAGATATTACCTACAATTCTTTATCAAGACCAGACTCTTCATTCCTTTTCTGGTATTCAAATGCTTACAAAATGCAAAAAGAAATAACAGAAATAAAACACTCCAAAAAAACATATTTTGATAAACATTTAAGTACCAAGGACAGGTAATTAATTAATTTTGGTATTGGAGAAAGGGTTTGAAAATAGAGGGAGAAAAAGTGGAATGCGAAAATACCAAACTCAAAATACGTTGTAATTTCAAAGTTTGTCTTTGGCACTTCCCAGTCACCTTTCTGCAACCTCTTATTGTTTTATTCTCCAGGCTTCCAGTATCCTCAGTCTCCTCTCCTTAGGTCCTGAACTATCGTACCCTATCTAGGTTTTCTCTAAAACCTAAAGTGGGCATGACCCAAAAACAGATCTATCTCCCTATAACCTCCAAGCTTACTATTCCTCCAGCCCCTACTAAAGTATCCACAATTAATATCACCTGAATTCTCAAAGAAGCATATTCATTTTTTAAAAATGCTATTAAGTCAATGGATGAAACTTTAGATTAATGGAATTTCAGTCAATGAAACAAATTCAAAACTGAAGACAATCTAGGTAATACACATATTAACTTGGGGCAGTTAGGAAGGATGATCAGTTGTGCTCTAGAGTCCTGTTCCTAAAGTCAATTTTCCTAAGTTGTTTCCACTTTTCAGTTTTCTCTTCTGCTATCAACCCAGCTTACCTAAAATACACTGCCCATGGTTCATCTCTATCAGAATCCCATGGGATCTTTTGCTACAAATAGTGGTTCTTTGGCCCCATCCCAGACTTCTACATAGCTCCCCCTGGTAACTCTGAAACACACTAACATTTGGGAATTACGCTCTAAAAGCTGCAAGTGTTCTAAGTTTCAGTTCTGGGTTTCTTTGTTCTCCCATGATGGTTCTCACGGCAACAGTAATGACTCGACTGAGGAAGCAAGAATGGTCATCAGCATGAGCCAGTAGTAAACTAAGAGCTGTATATACTATGAAAAAGCTTAAAAAGAGATTATTCTTTCAATTTCTCAACTCTTTGATAAACTGATTCTTGCTAACAGTGGTAGGTGCAAAAAGAGAATCCAAATCATACTGAGCAACTGTATTATACTGTTTATATCAAGTTGACAAAATAGGTAGCTACTACCAAAAAATTTAAAGATTACATCCAGAATCTCTCTCCTTAGTTCTTTGCAATTACCTTCAGAGGCCTCAAGAATTTTATGGGTTAGTACTACACTGACTTAGTGCTGTTTTATTTTCAAGACATCAGTTTCACATAAACTCTAAACCATTAAAATGAAAGAGAAAAACCCAAACAAGAACCCATGTACACTTACTTGTAAAGATATTGATCCACTGTCTTTAGTTTTGCTTAAGAAGCTAGAGATGGATAAATTCAAGTCAATGCTGCTATTATCAGCAGTGGAGCCAGTGCCTGAATCAGCATCATTTTCCTTTTGATTCTGAGATTCTGGAAGCACCATGGTTTCAGTTTTTGATAAAGCACCTATTTCCCCTTTATTTTCTGCATCTTCAGAGTTGATATTAATACTGGGTATTGGAACAGGCTGAGGTTCAGTGGGCTGTGAAGCGGCAGTAACTTGAGGTTCTGTTTTAATTGGCACTTCACCCGGAATTTCTTCTGGCTCTGTATCGATCTGAGTACCAGCTTTCTGAGCATCCTGAGTTTCACTTCCCAAAGCCTTTTGGTCAGTATGAATCACTGCACGTCTGACCTCTATTTCTTCAGTGCTACTTGACTCAGTAAGTTCCTCAACTTCATTTGTTTGGGGTTCCTCACTGGTCTCCACTATGTTCTCTGAACTGTTGACTAATTGTTCCTCACCTTTACCTTCTACAGATTTTTGATCTATGCCAGCGGTTTCAACCATTTCTTTAACAGGAACTTTCTCAGTTCCACCAACCTCAGGACCCACCACAGGCTTACTTTCTAATTTCTGATCTACTTCAACAGCTTCTTTATCATCATTGCTTTGAGCATTTTCAAATACCTTCTGAGCAACATCTACTGCCTCATCTGTTCCCATCACACTGGTCGTATCGCTGATCATATCTTTTTGAGCTTTGTCATCTTTTTCCAATTTCTCTTGTGCCTCTTCCTTTGTAAGGTCATCTTTATTTTCAATTGCCTGAATATCTGCCTCTTTTTCTCCAGTCTCTTGAGAAACTAAATCCATTGTTTGAATAGCAGTATCTTTAATTTCTTCAGATTTTATTACCTTTTCAAATATCTGTTGCTTTTCCTGATCCCTTTCTTCATCAGGTTTCAGATTTTGTTTAATATTTGTTTCTAAAGTTATTATATTATCCTCTTTTCCTTCACTTACTAAATCAATGTCCACTGTTTCTTGGTCTTCCGTGTCATGCAGATTTCCAAGCTTGAGTCTCTTCTCCTCCCTTCCATTTTCCTTGATTACTGTCTTTCTATTACGGAGCTCACCCACAGTTTCTAGGTCAGTATCATGTTCATTAATATCCTCTGCAGCCTTTTCAGGTTCATCAGTGGTGGGTTTTTCATTAACAACTTTGCTATTAAATTTATCTTCAGCAGTATTACGTTCTATTTTTTCTGAGACAGATTCCAAAATGCAAGCATTTTGAGAAAGTTTATCTTCTTCAGAGCTGGCAATACTAAGGTCAGAGGAAGCACGCTTACTTGCAGGAATTGGCTAAAAAAGATTTTATACATTATTAGTGTTAAAAGGTAACTTCAAGATGGTGATCAACAACATGTGTATTATAAGTGTGTGTGTAATGATTTAATTCATATATATTTAGATTTAGTATCTTTATCAGCAAAATTTGATGAAGTTCTAAAGATAACTTAAAGAATTGACAAATCTTCATGTAATATGACAAAAATGGGCAGTAAGAAGCAAACTTGCTATTATCTTCACTCCTAAAATGAAAGTTTTTTTACTGCTACCCATCAATTAATCCCTAGTTGCAGGAACAATGACATTCAAAACCCAACTCTAAATATTACCTAAATGAAATTTTCCTTCGAAATACTGACCAGAGAATTTTCTGTTTCCTCATCATCATCTTCCTCTTTGCCATCTTCAACTTCTTCTGTTACTTCAGCCTTTGCCTCAGCAATCAGCTCTCGGATTGGTTTGTTGGTATCAACAGTAACAAAGGGATGCTGTTTGATCATTAAAAAAAATATACTCGATTAACAGCTGAAAGGCCTGCTTGTACAGTAAGTTTCAAACCCATAAAACACAATTACGTTGTAAAAATATAAGCACATGGGTAGGAAAAATACAAACAAGATAACATTGCATCTGCAAAATGAAGGAGGGGAAGGACTTGAGCAGCAGCAGGGGTTGCTGACAACACTATTGTACTGTATTTTTAAGAATCCGAAGGAAATATGTCAAAAATGGTAACATATCTGGGTAGTAGGTTCATATACCTTACTGTGTGTTTGAAAATTACATAATGTAAAATTTAAAGGTTTCAAGAAAGTACATTACATTACTAGTTCTTAAAAAGTAGCAATAATACATATAAATCCTGTGTAAAGCCTTGTTAAAAGAATTACAAAATCCTTAGAGTTCTGTTAAAAGTATCTACAAACACCTGTTTTTTCTGACATGGTTCTAATATTCTGAAGAGTAGGAAGACATTTTATTAATCTCTGTAAACTGAGCATTTAAGTGTCTGTCACAGACTAAGGCCTTCAAATGTGGCAGCAGTGATGTGAGAGCAAATGCATTCTGGGGATGCAGCTGTTGCACAAAGCAAGGCAATGTTTCCTGCTTTCCCCCGCAGATAAACAGATGGATTCAAAGCACTCTAATGCAGGAGTTACACAAAAACTCACCCTGACTCAACCTAACAGTAACTGCTTCAAGATTTGTCATTCTGTTTGTTCACCTGTAATATTAATTACCTGACAAATTTTTTTTTATATCACTAATATACAATTACATGAGCAACATTGTGGTTACTAGATTCCCTCCATTATCAAGTCCCCACTACATACCCCATTACAGTCACTGTCCATCAGCATAGTAAGATGCGATAGAATCACGACTTTCCTTCCCCATGCCACCCCCCTACATTATGTGTGCTAATCGTAATGCCCCTTTTTCCCCTTATCCCTCTCTTCGCACCCATCCTCCCCAGTCCCTTTCCCTTTGGTAACTGTTAGTCCGTTCTTGGGTTCTATGAGTCTGCTGCTGTTTTGTTCCTTCAGTTTTTGCTTTGCTCTTATACTCCACATATGAGTGAAGTCATTTGATACTTGTCTTTCTCTGCCTGGCTTATTTCACCGAGCATAATACCCTCTAGCTCTATCCATGTTGTTGCAAATAATTACCTGACAAATTTTAATTGCAAGTGTTACAAAAGGTCCCGCTATGAGACACAATTCTCCAACCATTTTAAAAACACCATTTTTAAAAAGTCAACAATATTTACTGAAAATTTGCCCTCACTGTAAGAGATTTTTAAAAACTAATTAGTTCATGGACCCTGAGGTACTTGCTTTCTAGTAACTAGAGAGAAAGAGTGAACTAACAAAGTGGAAATGACTAACAAAACAATTAAACTGAATCAAAAAAGCACAGGAGGAATGAGTTACAAGCCACCTACCTTTCAGTAACAGAGCACACATTTGTAAAGCAAGTGTTAACAACAGTGTTTTTTGAGTCTCCACAGGGAACTCAAGAGGAAAGGGAGCACACTGAATCAATCTGAAATTGTGTTCTTCTTAACAATTGTATGGCTAACTGTTATCATACTATTCTATCTTACCTGCAGTAGCTGGGATGTATTCCACCTGGAATCCACATTCTTTTCTAAGCATTTCTTTAGGAAGTCCTTAAAATGTAAAGACCTTAAAAAAATTTTTAATATTCTATTTTACTTTATCATTAAAACTAAACAAAACTCATAAATTATGCATAAGTTTCATTATGTATATAATACTATTAATACAACATAAGAAAACTAGTTAATAAGAATATTAAGATTTCCTAAGTTATTCATCTGTAAATACAAACTAGATATCTCTGTAAGTAGGTTCATTATTTTAGCCACTAGGATATAGCCATATTTACAAGTACGTCAAAACCCACAAACTTCTATTATATTAAATTTGAAGAATACAGATCTACATCACTTTCTCATAGTATAGAAAACACCTTTTTTAATGCAGGACTCATATCACTGATATTTTATATTTATGGAAAAAGTTAGTTATAAGGGTTCATATGGTCCTTATGTCTTGAAAATATACCAAAAAATCAGTTTCCTACTTCATATGGTATTTGTACCATGTACCTAAATTTAAATTCCCTTGGAAAGTTGGAGGTAGAAAAAAATCAAGTTTTGCTTCTTAAACAGCTTTTAGAATATTTTACCATTTTGATGGTTGTGCTAATGTAGGGGGCTCAGATTTCGCTATTTTTAGCAGCACTCGCATTGGATTTAATTCATGATGAGGTGGTTCTATCTCAGCCATTTCTATTAAAGTGATACCCAGGGACCAAACATCAGCTTTGTAGTCATAGGGTCTGTCTTTAGATGTTTCACACATGACTACTTCAGGAGCCATCCTATAAAGACAGAGAATTGAATTGAAAGTTAAGATGTTTAACTTGAGAATAGTGATTGATTACAAACCACAGAAAGACAGTATAATCAAGTATGTAGACAAAATTAAATGAGTAACAATAACTGCTGACATAACTAATACTATAGATCCATAAAATTGACTACATACCAATATGGTGTACCAATAAAGGAATCTCTCCTTTGAATTGTCCTTGTGTTTTTAGCTGAGACTCCAAAATCCGCTTGAAATAAATAATCATACAGAAATATTAATGATAGTTTTTATGTAAAGTTCACTGTATTCAACATAGGAGAAAAGCATTTCAAGTCTTTAATTAGACCACTCTTATTAAAGGGCAAGCAAAATAGAGAACAACTTTCCTACCATTGTCATTTTGAACATTGTCACACACACACACACACAAAAAAAAAACTGTCAAAGAAAATACAACATCATTAATACACTTAATATATATCTTCAGATGCCAAATTTTCCAGAATTGGAAAAAAATAGTATCTTAAAAACAAACCAGTCTATCTACTTCAAAACAAATGTCAACTAGTACTACATATTAGTTAAATTAATAGAGACTTTTTTCTATAGTGTAAAAAACAAAAATTATACCAAGGCAGCATGTGTCTTGCTAACTTCCTCATAACACTATATCTTAAAGAAAAAAATTAAGAACCAGGTTTTCTGATTTAAATTATAGAGAACAGCAACATTATAGCTTTATCAATTGTTAACCCCACCTTTTCCATTTAGAGCTCAATCACTAACAGCAACATAAATTGCTACTATTGCATAAACTCATACCATTTATATATAACTTTTAATGTGGCATGTTTGATATGCTACAACTCTCAAAACTAAATTCAACAAAAATAAGATAAAAAATCATATAGAAACAATTTAAAAATTAATCATTTTAGACTAAAACAGGGGGAAAACAAGAGCAAATAAACAAAGCAAATTCACCCCATTACCACTTCACACCCATTAGGATGGCTATCATGGCTACCACCAAAAATATAGAATATAAGTGTTGGCAAGGATGTGAAGAAATCTGAACACTTGTACATTGCTGGTGGGAATGTAAAATGGTACAGCTGCTATGGAAAATGGTGGTTTCTCAAAAAAATTAAACACAGAATTACCATATGATCCAGCAATTCCACTTCTGGAATACCCAAAAGAATTGAAAGCAGGGACTCAAACAGATACTTGTATACACATATTTACAGCATTATTTGCAAGAGCAAAAAAGCAGAAGCAACCAAAGTGTCCATCAATGGGTGAATGGATAAACAAAATGTGGTCTATACATAAAGCAGAATATTAATTAATCAGCCTTAAAAAGAAAGGAAATTGACACATGCTACAACATGGATGAACCCTGAAGACATGATGCCAGGTAAAATAAGCCAGTCATAAAATAATAAATATCATATGACTCCACTTATATAAGGGACAAAGAGTAGTCAAATTCATAGAGACAGAAAGTTGAATGGTAGTTGCAAGTAAAATGGTAGCTGCTGAGGGGAAGAGGGAATAGGGAGTTGGTGGGTATGAAGTTTCAACTGCAGAAGATGAAAAAATTCTAGAGATAGATAGTGGTAATGGTTGTGCAACAATGTGAATGTACATAATGCTGCAGAACTATACACTTAAAAATGGTTAAAATGGTAAATTTGGGTAATGTATGTCACCACAATAAAAAAATGAATAAAGATAAAAAAAGAACTTGAAAGTTGTAAATACTGATGATAAACAAACCCAACAAGCAAATAATAAAAGTCCCTAAAGAAGAAAGTCAATGCAAGGAAACAGAAAAAAATACTCAAAACTGTAATTCCAGAAAAAATTCCTGGGAGGGCGAATGGGGGAGGAAGATATGACTATTATAAGAGCCTATAATTAGAAAAGTCTTGTCGAATAACTGCTCCTTAAAAAAATTCCTTGGCATCTAGGCAAAAAGAACACATGACTTGTAAGAGAAAGAAAATCAGACCATTAACAGACTTTTCAACAACACTGTAACAGAAGAAAACAGAGTAACACATTTCAGATACTCAAGGAAAAAATTGTAAGCCAAGGATTTGCTATACATCAAAACTAACCTTCAAAGTATAAAGGGTAGAACTATTACCATTATGTAAGAACTCAGAGAGCCCTTCCGGAGAAATCTACCAGAGAATGAACTTCAAACACCAACAAGACTAAAGAGACGTCAACATTAAGTATTAGTAATGAGAATTAAATATAGAAATAAGGGTTAAATGAGTAATTATGGTATATTCTAAATCTATCATCAATGTCCTTGAGAACACTGACACTCAGGATAGAAGAAAAGAGATACAGATGTAATACGGAAAAGATTAGGTGAAAAAAACCTTTACCATCAATCTGAATAGGAAATAAGTAGGAACTCATGAGAGCCTAGCTCTGTCCTTCGGAAAGGCCTAGAAATATGGCCAATCTAAAAACTACAAGCGTCTCTAACACTCAGATTGTGAGCTACTAAAAGAAACCAGGGTTTCTTGAAAAAATGGCCATTTACAGGTCTGAGGAAGAAAATATACAAGATGAGCCTGAAATATGTCAACCTAATAGTTAACAAAGAAGTTAACAAAGATTACCAGAATCATGCCAAAAAGATTAACAAGAAACTTGAAGGTGCTCCCATTGACCAAAGACAGTACAATGAGAGCTTCAATAAGGATAAAAATGTAATAGATTTAAAATCTATAAAAGTCATGAATTTTAAAAAATAATAATGATGTTTTAAAAAATAGTGGTCACCACTGAGAATAAGAAAGAATGAATTCATTGTCTTTAAAGCTAAATAAATAAAAGAATCAGCCTTTTTTCTGTCCTATCTATATGAACTATACCCCAGTAACAAAATAGTTGAAGCAGTGTCTTCTTATGTAAGTATACTTAATTTTATGATGATGATAAATGAAAATAATTAAATAACTGATAATTATATCCAATTTTTATAAAAAATAATACATGAAAACAAAATGATAGAATTCATTTTGCAACTCCAACCAAATAATGTGTCTAGGCATTAAGCATCAACAGCTGCTAACATCAATGAAGGCAAAAAGCAAACAACTGTATGCTTCCCAATCAAAGAACACAAAACCACCTATATACTCTTGCCAAAAAAAATCAAATTTAAGACTGAGGGAGGCCTTTGAATTCATCTGCAAATATTAAAGAAATACAGAGAGGAACTTACTAAAATCATCATGAATGTGTAATCAGCAAAATCCAAGTTGAGAGAAACTGCAAGTCTAACACACAAGTCCCATCATCAGTATTTCTTATTCTCTTCTTCATCATCACAGTCCTAACGAGCCGTTTCGACATTTTTTCCCTAATTCTCCCTCCCCCTGTGAAATTTTAATGCCATTGATACACTGTGTATCTATTTGTACTGGTGGCCTTTGCAGGGCCACAGAGCCATGAAATAGATAAGGTTTTTTTGCCCCCAAAGAACCAATTTTTGGTCCTTCAGGGGTGATATGGCCCCCATGAGAATGCATGAGACAGAAAAAGATTAAAGAAAAGAAAGGGATTAGGGATGGGAGTACTTGTTAATTAAAAGAGACTTAAAAAAAATCAGGTTTTAAATATGGGCAAGTCTTAACTCTAGGGTCTAGATATGGACACTGGGAGACCAAGCCATAAAGAAACTGGAGAAAGTAGTTACTATAAAAGTCAAGATAAAGGTTACCTTGGAGAAGGGAGGGACAACAACTGAGATGGGGCACAGAGAAGAGTTGCTGGGTGCCTGAGAAAGTTCTAGTTCTTGATCTAGGTGGTGGTTACAAAGCCATTGTCTAAAAAGCTACAGAGTCACTAAGCTACAAAGTTGTCTGTGATTTCCTTTATGTTTTTGTCTCACAAAAAAAAGGTTAAAATTTAGTATATCAAATTATAACTGATTAGATGTCATAAAAAAGGGAAATGCAATGACAACGATCACCAGTATCAACATGACCTTTGAGTATATTTAATCCTTTTAATATCCTTCCAAAATTTAGACTTCATCACCAGATTTTAAAATCAGTATCTTGGTTATACTTAAAGAAGACTGTATCTTCCATTTCTATGTGTAAATCTGAAATTAACCAATTTCCCACCTAAAACATATATCTACTTTTCTTATGAAGTTATTTATTCCCTCAGTGTAAAAAAAAAAAAATTTAAGTCTAGTCATTATACTGAATTTAGGCATCCTTTTCAGACCTAAGGTTAATCTGTTAGTTTAGCCAAGATACTGTATCTATAGAGTATAAAACCAAACATGAAAAAACAAAGCCATTAGATATGGGTTTTAGAAATGAAGATAAAACTAAGCAGTTTTTCATACTATATCATATTCTAAATGTATTATATTCACAAGTATTAAGTCTACACACAAAACTTTAACAGAAAAAAGTCTTCTAAACGTTTGCCTTTTTTTAGCATTTTTTTAATTGCAATAAAGCTGACAGACAATATTGTGTTGGTGTCAGATGTACAGCATAGTGACTCAACAGTTCTATAAATTACTAGATGCTTGCCTCAATAGGTGGTTACCCGATTAACATACCAAGACACTACAGTATTATTGGTCAAGTTTTCTATGTCGCACTTCCATTCCTATGTCTAACTTATTTTACAATTTGCAGTTTGTGCCCACACTTTCTTTCTAACTTTATTTTTAAAGTATCTTTATATTAGGTGCCCACAGTTAAAAATTTTTTAAATTAATGAACAATTATTAATCCAAGGAAGTATTTAAAAAATTAACATAGAGTAATTCTCCATGTTCCATATATCTGAGTTATAACAAAACAATATTAAGTCACATACATACAGGGGATGAAATCTCAGAGCACAAAACTCATAATTTTTTTTTAAGGGAAGAAACTTACCCAACTTAATATCTCCATCTAAGGTAAAAAGAATGTTTCCAGCTTTTAGATCTCTGTGGATGATTTTATTATCATGTAAGTAGTTCAAAGCTTCTAAAGTCTGTTTACAAACTACTTGTATTTGGGACTCAGTTAATGGTCTCTCTAGTTCTGTAAGGAAAGAATAAATAAATGTGCATTGTTATATGGTAAAAATACATCAGTGGGATATATTCCTTGACCATCACTGTCAAGGATCATATACAGTAAGTTTATTTTAGAAAAACTAAATATCTATGAAGATTATTTTGCTCAACATTTCATTTTAGAATTTTATCACAATTATCCAAGAATATAAAAATATAATTAAACTAACTGCTCAACTTACTGAGGAAAACTCAAGAGTTTTTCCTGTGTGTGTTGAGTGTGTGTGTGTGTGTGTGTATAAATACTTGCAATTCTTTTGATTTTTATGAAGTATAATTTAAAACATAAACATAAAGAACAAAAAGGTATTTACCAAGCATTACAGCATCCACAGCTCCGCCAGCACAGAATTCAATGAGGATCTGCAGGAAACAAAAAAGCACACAAAACTGAGTGTTTTCTTCAACTGAGCAGGAAGACTGAGGGAACAACTATCAAATAACCTAGGTTACAGAAACAGTGTTATGCAGCCATAGAGATTTTCTTTGTCCACAGAATTCTTAGTCTTGGTGATGCACATCTGAGAAAGCCTAAAGAGAATACACTGGAAATAAATGGATTTTCGCTTATCACCATGTTTAGTGACCTGGCTTCTCTAAAATTACCAAGTCCAGAATTTTTAAGGACAATATTACATATTCATTTCATTACCAATGAAAGATTTTAGTACTCTTATTTTTAAGGATACTGTGGTGATTTAAGTCATCAAAATTTTTTTTAACTTTACTAACAGGAATAAATCCTGAAAATCTAGAGACTTCTTTTAGTTAAAACACACACACACACACACACACAAAAGCTTCAGATCCTGGCTCAATTATCATTTCCTGATGGATGCCCTCCTAGACCTCCCCAGTGGATACCACCATGTACCTTTCCTTCTTAACTCCTCTCACAGCTGTAATTTTTTATTAAAATTCTTTGATTAACTAATATCTGCCTCTCCCATTTGACTGTCTCTCACAGTTGTTCAACTTTTTAGTTTATAGTAGTCTCAAGTAAAGAATTTATCTATTTATTAAACTAAGAATTAATTTTCATTATAATCTCTGGAAACATTCTGCCCAAGCCCTCGAGCAGAACTAAGAAGATAACACACTCATAACTATAGAGAATTTTTAACATCATGGCTTAATAAATTGTGTAGCTTCCTGCTTTTTTTCTCCTTTATGTAATAACTTTATTTTTTACAGGTGCTTGCCAATTACAAATTATTTTCAAATTCATTATAGCATTTGAAAATAAGGTGGAAGGTAGATTATTACTCATCACGTAAACAAACTCATAAAGGTTAAACTGATTGATTCAAGCTCCTACCTAGCAGCACCAGGGTCAAAAGATATATGCCTTTTGACTTCCAGTCAGACATTATTTTTACCACCTACTCTTCTCCTATAATGATTTGCTTCTTCCTTCAAGGAGAAAAACTCCATTTCAAAATGCCCACCTGATTAAATTACTACTGGTACAGGGCAAGTAACTGGCTGGTTATCATAATAAATATTAATATTTTATTTCTATATTTATTTGTGCCTAATATTTTCTAAACATGAACTAAATTTATACATACAACCCTAGCCACTACATCATACACTAAATTTGGGACTGATAACACAAAAGATAAATATTTAACATTTCCAGTAAGTATTTTATAATTTATTACATGACTTACAAAAAGTTTACGGTAAGAAGGCAGAAAAAGACAAGAATCAAATGATTTCACTCATCTGTGGAGTATAAGAACAAAGAAAAAAACTGAAGGAACAAAACAGCAGCAGACTCACAGAACCCAAGAATGGACTAACAGTTACCAAAGGGAAAGGGATTGGGGAGGATGGGTGGGAAGGGAGAGATAAGGGGGAAAAAAAAGGGCATTACTATTAGCAGACATAATGTAGGGGGGGTACACAGGAAGGATTGTACAACACAGAGAAGACAAGTAGTGATTCTATAGCATCTTACTACGCTGATGGACAGTGACTGTAATGGGGTATGTTGGGGGGACTTGGTGATGGGGGGAGTAGTAAACATAATGTTCCTCATGTAATTGTAGATTAATGATACCAAAAGAAAAAACAAAAATAAAAAAAAACACAAAAGTTTATGGTAAGAAACTATAAACAGTTTCTAGGAAAACAAAATAAATATCTAGAAAAAATTTTAAGTAAATGTTTAAATTTCAACTACAAATGAAGAGAAGCCCATCTAATTTCATAATTTAGGAAATTTAATATTCTGAACCAAGTTTCTCCTTTGGGTCCAATGTCAAACAATCGTGAAGTATGGTAGTATCTGAAATATATATCTGAGTATTTGTTGAAACTAACAGTAATTATGTTGTTAATGACACTCTAATCAGCAGACTGACTCTCACTCAAGGAACATAAGTAACTAAACAGAAGAGGTAACATATGAAACAGGTGTACACAACTCATAAACTTCTTTAGGACAACTGACACATTTTGACCACTCTTAAATCAACAACAAATACTTACCCAAAGATTGTTCTCATAATAGAAGGCATCCAGAAGTTTGACTATATTTGGGTGATCACAAGATGCTAATATATCAATCTCGACCATGTAATCTTCAAGTTCTTCTTCAGATTTTGTGTCGATCACCTTTGCAGCAGCTAAAACATTGGTCTCCTTATTCTGGGCCTACAAATCAAAGTATCATAAATGTCACACAATGCATACTTGTTTTTTAAATGTTACTTTTTTAAATAAACTTTATTTTCTAGAGTAGTTTCAGGTTCATAGAGAAGTTGAGAAGTAGAGTTCCCATATACACCCCACCCCTAAACTTGCACAGCCTCCCCTACTGTCAACATTCTGCAATTGCATGGTACATTTGTTACAACTGATGAACTACACTGACATCATTATCACCCAAAGACCATAGTTTATATGAGGATTCACTCTTGATGCACAGTCTGTGGGTTTTGTCAAATATAAAACTTGTATCTACCAATAAAATATCATACAGGATAGTTTCATTGCCCTAAAAGTCCCCTGAGCTCTGCCTATTCACTCTTCCTAACCTCTAGCAACCACTGATTTTTTTATTGCCTCTATAGTTTTGCTTTTATAGAATGTCATATACTTGGAAGCACACAGAATGTATGTAGCCTTTTCAAATTGGTTTCTTTCACTTACTAACATGCATTTAAGCTTCTTCCCTATCTTTTCATGGTTTGATAGCTCATATATTTTAGCACTGACTAATAATCCATTATGTAGATGTGCCACAGTTTTTATTTATCCATTTACCTACTGAAGGTATCTTGGTTATTTCCAAGTTTTAGCAATTATGAATAAATCAGCTGTAAACATTCATGCAGAAGTTTTCGTGTGGACGTAAGTTTTCAACCCCTTAGGGTAGATACCAAAGAGTACATTGACTGGAACATATGGTAAGAATATTTTAGTTTGGTAAGAAACTGCCAAACTGTCTTTCTAAAGTGGCTGTACTATCTTGGATGCCCACCAGCAATGAATCAGAGTTCCTGCTGCTCCATATCCTCACTAGAATTTGGTGGTGTTATTATGGATTTCTGTCATTCTAATAGGTGTGCAAAGGTATCTCCTTGTTTTAATTTGCAATTCCCTAATGACAGATAATGTTAAGTACCTTTTCATATGCTTATTGGCCATCTGTGTATCTTCTCGGGTGAGCTGTCTGTTCAGATTTTGGTCCATTTTTTAATCAGATTTTGGTTTTCTAACTGTTGAGTTTTAAGAGTTTTTATATATTTTGAGTAACAGCCCTTTATCACTTATGTCTTTTGCAAATATTTTTCCCCAGTCTGTAGCTTGTCTTTTCATTCTCTTAACATACTTCCTTTTAAAAGCCTAAACATAAATATTAACTAACACATGCTACGCTAAGTGCTTTATATGCACATAGGATAGTGTTTCAAATTGCAGGCTCTACTGGGTCAGACTGTTAAGAGTTCAAATTCTGATTTTGCCACTTATTAACTGTGTTGCTTGGAGCAATTTACTCCAACTTTGTAAGAATTAAGATTATATTTTCCAAGTGAAGAAAAAAAAACATATAAACATTTAACACAATGCCTGCCACAGACAGTAAGGATTCAAAAATATTAGCTGTACTTATTACTATTATTATTTATTCCTCACAACCCCATAGCTTATTATCCCTACTTTAAAGGAGGGTAAATAAACTTGGAGGGGTTAAAAGACTTCCCCAAGGTCATATAGCTAGTAAAAGGCAGAATAAGGATTCAAATCCAGGTCTGTTTCCAAAGCTCTTTCTTTATCTTGATCATTACCCTTTCCAGTTTTCCTATATATCCACCAGTTTGGTTATTTTTCCTTGTTTTTAGTGCTTTAGCTTTTCCATTTGCTTTCTTTGGTTGAATAACTTCTCACCTCCATTTATTAGAAATGAAAGATTTCCAAATATGTAGTAGAAACCAAGATCATTTTTCTAAAAATTAGGAATCAGATATTAAAATACTAATTAGGTTGTTTTGGACATTTCAATATCATATTATGTTATCATCACTTCAATAAAACTGCATTTATTACCTTAAAAAAAAAAACAAAAAAGTACCAAACTTTTAAAAGCCGATAATAATGTTTCAATAAATAATGTCCAAATCCCACTTTAAAGGATTTATAAGGAGATAATTTTACAGAATAAAAATTATGCATACACAAAATTTTCAGCAAAGCACTATTTACAACAAGAAAAACAGAATCAGCCTAAATGCCCATTAGCAGGACACTTAAATCATTCAGTATAGTTCTACAATGGAAAATTACACAGCCATTAAAATTAATTGACTAATCAATTAATATTTCAGATGGAACAGTAGCCACAAGATATCACTAAGTGGGAAAAAGGCAATTTATTAAACATGAGAGATATGTAATTTTACAAACAACTACAGATCCATTTTCACATATGGATAGCTGCATAAGAAATATCTGGAAAGACATCAGTGAGGATGGTAGAGGTCAGGTGCTTTTGACTTTTTCTGTATTTTTCACATTGTTTGAATTTCTTTAAATGGACATCTTATTTTTACAGAAGCAATAAAGTGCTAAAAAAATCAATGGATGGGTGATTTCTTAGAGATCTATTACCTAATCTTGAAGATGATGAAAAAAAAAAAAGAACAAAGCAGTTATCAACCTGTTCCTGGGAATTTTCTTAAGTAGATTAGTGACATGCTTTAGTTCCTTAGGAAGAAAGAGAGTGATTACTAATTAAGTAACCCTAGTGTTTAAGGCTCAGAGACTACATTTTAGATAAAAAGAACTTCAAACTGGTCTTTGCTACTACTCTAGAATATTCTAATCTATTATATTTTATCAAATCTAGGATGCCTTTTAAGATGTACCATTATCTTATGTTCACTAAGGAAAGAAAAACTGCCAATTATACTACAACAATACTTTAGCATTAGAATTTCTAAGTTATCCCTTTTTTAAGAGCTACTTTTGGACATATTTGGACAAAAATTGTTATTGTATATTATCCTTGTGCATACATAAAAAATTAAATACTTCATAGTTAAGTTTGACTCTCTTCTGAATCACTTTTTCACTCAGTTATCTAATGCTGTTTTTCCACACAAAATCATTCTCTGACATAAAAGTTTTGGTGATGTAGCATTTCTTAAAAAGAGTGTCCCTTTTACTACTTAAAGGAGTAATTATCAGAATCTGGTTCTAGAGAACTCTGAAAATCAAAAGTGAAATAAACTTTGATAAGTGTGTGAAAAAATACTTTAAACAAATATAATGAATATAAAGTGCTAAAAAGAAACAACCTCATCTACTACTGTCCCCAAAATTTTTTTTGAAGCCACTAACTCCCACTCTGCAATTATAAAGCCATTACTTTCTTGATCTTGCCACAGGTGCTAAAATATTTTTAAATAACAACCAGGACTCTCATTCTTTCTTCCAAAGGTCCTTAAGTTTACTAGTTGAAATATCAAAGGGTTACAACTATATAACACCAGGGATACAACTAAGTTCACAATGCACAGGAAATGACAGATATATCACGACTACCACTTGGCCAACACAGTAATAATAACGCATCCACCAATAAAAGACATGTCCCAATTTTAGAGGTGTTAAAAAGTAAAAAGTCTGTCGTAACTGGTGAAACACAACCTTAAGTTTGTCTAAGAAAGATACCACAGTTGAGCCAATAATAATTAGAATTCACGCTCCCATAAGTCGGGGGACATAAGCCAGGGAAAAATAAGCCCTTCTCTGATCATTTTAATGTAATACTTTGGAAAGAAAAAGACCAGAGGAACTGTCCTTGAAAAGGAATACCATAAAATAGGAGCCCTGGTAAGAGAACAAAGATTTGTGAGAAGAGTTAAAAGTCATCCTGCTTCTATGGTTCTACTGACTTCCTGAGAGATTTTAAAGGTATGTTTTTTACTTGTGAGTGGAATGGCATAAAGGGGGAAAACATAACTAACACTAGATAATCTCTAAAGTTCTTTATAGTAACAAATTCCATTATCCCATTCCCCTGGATATACTGATTAAACCAACAATGGTACCATTTGGTTTACTATAAGTAATAAATAGAAGTTACATTAGAAAATACAGTGCCTCTTACATTATTGTTTGAAAATAACTTGATTACTCATCAGAATCTGGTTCTAAAGAATTCTGAAAATAAAAACTAAAACGAACATTGATAAGAGTGTGAAACTAAAAAATTATAAATGTTAAAAAGAAATACAAAGTGTTAAAAAGAAGCAATCTCACCTACCTACTACCTACAAGCATAAAAATTCTTCACATAAAGACAATGAAATAACTAAACAAATGCTAATAAAAAGAATGGAATAACAAATATCCAGAGATTAATTTAAAGACGATATAACTTCTACTGATAAAAAGTTTTCAAAGATAGTCATGATACCTTAAAAATCACTTTTTATTTTCATGAATCATACTTTGGCCACTTTACATAAATAAATAGAGAACTACAGGGAAAAATAACTTATCTGAGTTTCCTGTACTAGTTTCATATTCTAAATGAAATAGAGTAAAAACTATATCCTCATATTACTTTTGTTATAACAGTGGTTATTTCCTGCATGGTGAGAATGCAAGTAATTTTTAAAACTTCATTCATTTTATTTCTTCATTTCTACATTTTTCTAAGATTATATAAGTCATTCATAATGAGAAATATATTTTAATGAAATTCTCAGCTGGAAATTCAAAGACCAGCACAGAAAATAGAGATGACTTAAGTACCACAGAGGTGTTAGTCAATCAAAAGGGGAAGGTGGGGGAAGAAAAAAAAAGGATAAATACAATGGGAATCTTAAAGAAAAAGAATAGAGATGAATTCAATTACTTCCATAATCACTGAGATTTAATTTACTGATCTGGATGACTTAATCTTAAGGATGACTGCTCAGTGTATAAGGACATACAGCCATAACAAAATATGAAAATTAAACCAAATACAGTTCATGAACATCCATTACATTCAAGGTATAGGGCAGAGTTACAGAAAACACAAATCCAACACTCCAGAGAAATCTGTTATAGGAAAGAAATGCCATATAAAAATCTACTGAAGTGTGCTCAAGAACTGATCTGCTAAAAATCCATTGATTCTTTCAACACTCACTGAATGC